TTAAAATCCCCCATCATATTATCCCAACTTAATATTCCAAGCTTATTTTTCATAACACCAATTACATACCTTATATTTGAGTAAAAATTCAGACCTGCATTTTCATGATCCACATCCATATTGAAATTATTCTTTGTACGTTAATGCTTTCCTCTCTTAACTTTCTCTTTAGAAACTAACTATTCTTTAAAGACAAAGGCACTCCTTACTACAAAAAGTTTCTTTTATCCTGTTTAATAAATTGCCAGAGGACTTCATTTATATCAACTCCACTTTCTCACCTTTACTGTTGGAAAACTGAAGTTTTGCATAAGAGAAATACCATAAAATTTCAGTGAGGTACAGCTGAGTCTCTACCAATAATTTAAACTCTAGATTTTGGAAAGAATAAAAATGGGAGAAGTTGTTTGGAAGCCAGAGTAGAAGGATTGTAGAAACTGACTAGTAAATGAAAATTAATACTCCATTTTAATACACTAAACCATCTTGAAACTGTTTTAAAGTAACTTGAAACTGTATTTTTATTAAAGTTTAAATTGATAAATGCTCCAAAACAGGGCACATAAAGCTGCAGCTATCTTGTGATTCTATCTTATCATTCTAATGTCAGTGAAGAACCAAACTAAATGTCTTCTCTCATTTTTTATGTCACTATAACCTTTGGATAAAATTACAATCTTATACTAAAGAGCATTTGAATAAAAAAAAAGGCTGCCCATATTAAACACACTATATAAAAAATTATATGTAATGAATACCTGTATAATATAATTATGTGAATACCTGCTAAGTGTAAATATGCTATTGTGCTTCAATCTTTAATCCTGTGATTGTTTAAAATATAAAGAGAAAGGAGAAACAGAAATGTTCCAATGCTTTATCTCAAAGGAATACGAGATACGTAGTTTCCTGTAGGATTTTTGAGGCTGTAAAATATGATGTGTTGTTTCTTTTGGCAGCACAATTATTCTTAACATTTGACATTCCACTCAAAATAAGAAATATTTTTATTTATATTCTGTCCATATTTACGATTTAATTGAAAAACATGTCAAGAAAGTAACAAAATCATACAGAATTCAAAATGCAAGGTATAAAAGTGCAAAAGAGAAAAAAAAGCTGTCATCCAGAAATGAAAGAAGTAATAGACCAAAGAGAAAATCAATGATTAAAAATATTCATATTCCAATCACTTCTTGTGATGTAAAAGACAAATATTAAAAAATAAATGAAAATCTCTATTGTAGAAGTGAACAGAAGTAAAATTATTTTATCTAAACAAATTTGTCATAGGAAATGAAGTATCTAGAATAAAAAGAATTTCAACAGAAATCATGAAAGTCATAATAAAAGTCTTCTAAAAATGAATTAATATGACTATAATATATCAGGACATATTTTTATTAAAGGCATACCTCACAATATATCACATTATTTCTATTTACTACTTAATTAGTTTCCTTTGTAAAATTATCTTTAGTGAGTTTTATATATTCATTTTAAAGGCATAAAGTTTTTAATTACCTATTTCTTTTCTTAAGTGAAAAGTATTCTCTCAGTAGTAAGAGATAAGCTTTTATACTTTACGTAAATCATAGCATACAATTTCCGTGGTTACCTAAATAAGTTTTTCTTTTCTTTTCTTCTTTTCTTTTCTTTCAGATACTAATTTTTGCTTTGCTTTTTTCCAAATCACTATTCTTTTCTGTTGAGAAAAGTTTGGCATTATAAGGAAGTTCCAAATTTTTTTTCCCCTAAATAAATATCATCATCTTTTCCTCTACAATTTTCCTCAACTACAGTTAGGTTTGGTTTGTATGCATAATTCTATAACATACCAAATAATTTTTTCTTTTAATTTCTTCAAAAAACTCTAATTTTTGTCTTATTCAACATTCCACTATCAGTCATTGAATATATTTCAGGCTCCATAATCATCAAGTTTCTTATAACATAAGTTTTAAATGCTAGAATCTCTAAGAAGTAACTTAATTTGACACTGAAAAACATATTTTATATATGAATAAGCACATACTCCCTAAGTCATTCATTCCTTTCACTTACATACCCACATCCTTTTAGTCAATAATCCTATTGGCTCTGCTGTCAATATGTCTACAGACTGCATCCACTTCTACCTATCTCTAACGTAGAAGTAGATGTAGAGATTATCAGCAAATGTAGAGATGTTAGAAGTGGATGGAGTCTGTAGATATATTTACTCCTTTCTAATGTATCATTTCTTACCTGAGTTATCATCACGGTTCTCCAACTGGTCTCTTGCCTCTATCTTTGCCCCATCTTTCCTCTCTCTGCTCTTCCCCTCTTTTTATAGCTTATTACCAAATACTGTCAAGCTATAAATCAAAATTATCTCCATTCTTCCCATTATACTCAGAGTTAGAGCCAAAGTTTTGTCATTTGCCTAAACTGCGGTCCATGATCTGACTCCCATTGCCTCTCTGACCTCATCCCTTACCAATCTTCCCTTCACTCTTTCTTCTTTATTCGCACAACTCCTTACTCTCTCTGTAGCATACCAGACTTGACCCTCGCTTTAGCATCTAGAAGGATAACCCAAAGTGTTTTATCCTCATCGAGTTCAACAGAACATGATATGTTACTACAATAGATTTTTTTCTCATATTTGTTCAGAAAATAGGTATTGAGCTCCTCTATTTGCCAGATACTCTGCTAAGTTTATGAAATCCAAATATGCAAAAAGAAGTCAGTTTCCACACAAAGCAAACAATCTAGCAAAGGAGATAAATGCTGTGATAGAGATAAGCAAAGGGAGCTATGAGTCCAGAAGATGATATATCAGTATACATTGTAGACACTCAAGCTTCAGAGAAGAGTTCAGCCCTGAAGGATTTGCAAATGTTATAATGGTTAAGAAGGAATTCAGAGGGGATTTCAGTCAAGGAATAAACAAAGTCACACAATTAGTAGAAGATGGGATCAGTTTGGAGAAATGCAAGATAGGTCCTGACATTTTGAGCTAGAGTGCTAACTAGAGATGTCCAATAGACGGATGGATACATGAGTCATAAACTCTGGACAGAGATTAAAAAATAAAGTTGAGATATAGATTTGGGTGTCATTTCAAAATGGCTTTTACAAATTAATTTTAAGGTAAATTAAATTGAGTGAGGAGTCAGATCAGAAGAGATTGCTTAGTGAATCAAACTAAACATGATTATAAGAAAGGAAATCCTAGGAAAGAGCCCCAGGGACCATCAAAATTTAAGGCAAAAGCAAGGAAAAATGGACCCATAAAGTAAGGTGAACAGTATGGTCAATAAAAGAAAACCAGACCGCAATACAGAAGAAGAAAACATGTCAACACTCTCAAGTGATACAGAGAAAGCAGAGGTGTAAGAATTCCATTAGTTGAGGAGTTTTTGCTGGTCTTAGCTAAAAAGATTGTTCAGTAGTTTGATTGCCTCTAAAGCCAGATTATAACTCTTGATGTGTACATAGGTGATGTTAATAGGAGGAGACAGATACTTAACGATTGCAAATACAGACATGAGGTGGTGGGCTATGAAAGGGAATAAAAAATAGAATGCTCACTGAAGGCAGATGTGCAATAAAGGAAGTTTTTTAAGGTGCAAGAAACATATAGATGCTTAAATTTGAATGAAAAGGAGCCAGAGAAAAAAAATTTTGAATAATAATAACAATAAATAGCATTTATGTCATGTTTACTTTATGAACAGCTCTATTTTAAATACCTTATCTGAAATAAATTATTCAACACTAGAGTGAATTTTTATCCTCATTTAATAAATAAGAATACATAGGCAAAGACACGATTAAGTAGTTTTCACAAAGTTGCACAGTTAGTAAAAAGTGAGTCAGAATTTCAAACCAGGAAATATGGCTTTAGAATTTTCTCTTTCTCTCTCTCTGACGATATAGTAGATAGATTAACTTCAAGGGATCATTTGACAGAATTAAGGACATGATTGAGATTGAAGATAGATAATGAGTTTAAGATAAAATAAGCTGAGAACACACCCCACTCTTCTCATGGAAGAAACATGTTACTCCCAGGATACTAAGTATGGCTCTCCTCATTTGGAAGATTCAAGCAAAGAATCCAGTTAATTAAGTTAGGGGAGAAGCCAGATAAGAAAATAAAGTAGCATACGTTTGTGTAATAATTCATGGATGATGATGATGATGATGATGATGATTATTATTATAATATAAGGAGCAGATACAAATTAATGGGAGTAGGTAGAATTTTGTTTATCCAATCAACTATGCAGTCTAAAAAAATAAAACTCATTGTTTTGGTGGCAAATTACATTTTTTTAAGGTAATTTAGCAGGATTCAGGATCCCCAGAAATCAGCACAGTTGGTAGGTAGCTCCACTCGGAGTCATCTTAAGCCCAAAGGAGCAAAAAATCCAAGGAACAAGAATGAATAGGGGTTGGCATCCCATTGTTCTGTGGGCTCATGTATTGTATTCGAATTTAATCATCTGATATATTATCTTAATATCATTAAAATATTTATTTTAAAAGATGATAGATTGAGTAATTGATTTCACAATTGATTTTACAATTAATCTATGATCTTTTAAAATAAGTATTTTATAATACCAAGTATTGTGATGGTTAATATTGAGTGTCAACTTGATTGAAGGATGCAAAGTACTGTTCCTGGGTGTGTCTGTGAGGGTGTTGCCAAAGGAGATTAACATTTGTGTCGGTGGACTGGGAAAGGCAGACCCACCGTCAATCTGGGTGGGCACCATCTAATAGCTGCTGGCACTGCTCAAATCAAGTAGTTAGAAGATAGAAAGAGCAGATTTGTTAAGTCTTCTGGACTTCATTTTTCTCTTGTGCTGAATACTTCCTGACCTTAAACATCAGACTCCAAGTTCTTCAGCTTTTGGACTCTTGGACTTACACCAGTGGTTTGCCAGGGACTCTCCAGCCTTCCACCACAGACTGAACACTGCACTGTTGGCTTCCCTACTTTTCAGGTTTGGGACACGGACGGGTTTCCCTGCTCCTCGTCTTGCCGATGACCTATTGTGGGACTTCACCTTGTGATTGTGTGAGTCAATACTCCTTAATAAACTCCTTTTTATATGTACATCTATCCTATTAGTTCTGTCCCTTTAGAGAACCCTGACTAATACAGGTATAATATTTATTGTAAAAAGATTTGAAAAAACATGTAGAATTGCTTATAAAAAATTCATGTGTAATCCCATCAAGGAGTGAAAACTCTAAAAATCTTGAGATTTATGTGTTTCTAATGTTTTACAGATACACATATGCCCATGTCCAAGATCACATAATATAGAGAATCTCTAGATTCCCTGCTATTACTTACTTATTATTTATCTTATCTGATGAGCATGGTCTAATATAATTTGAAAGTCTTTTAAAACCTTATTTAATGTCTATTTAACATCTTATTCAAGTAATAGTCCATAATTTATTTGGCTATTTTCTATTATTTGTCATTGAAGCTATTTTAAATTTTTTTACAAATATAAATAAGCCAGAAATGAATATCTCTATAATTAAGATTTTATGTTTAATTTTTTATCAGATATTTTCCCAGAAGAAAACTATTAGATTAATAAATTTGAGCTTTCAAAAGTCCTCAATGAATTTTTCTAAATCTTCGTATAGAAAAATTGACAATTTACCCTCCACCAGAGTGTATGAGAGAGACTTCTTCACCTATTGAAGGAGGAGACCATTTATTATCTAGAGAAAAAACAAACAACTGTATTGATTGTTTGTGAATGGGAGAGATGTACTTCTTTATGTATTATAGTCACTCTAAGCAAAACAAGAGGCTAGAGGAAGTAGTTAAAGATTTGGCAGAGTTTCAGAATGGGGAGATTTAGGGATTGGATGAGTTTCATTTTTGGGAGCATGGTTACTGGAGTTAGGCTGTTGTCGATCAACTAACGTTCAAATGTGTGGCATTGTTATCCGTTGTCTGACTTTCAGAGCCATGGATATGGATGCAAAGCATCTGAGTAACCGAGGTAAGATTAACCTCTATTCTTCTTTGTTACCTGACCAAAGTTTAGGATTCTGATGAATAAACTATTCATTTTGTCATTGTTTGAATTTTGAAAATATAAAATTTTTATTTTACATCCTATGTGTAACATAACTGAGAATTATATTTTAAATATTTGTCAAAGGTAAAAAATAAATGAGATCTCATTGAAGTTATCAAGTGGATTAATAATGAGGTTTAATTTTTTTGTATGTTTCTTTTGCTAATACCTATAATGTACAAGTGTACTAGGGGATCCTAAGACAAAGAAGACCAGTAAACATTTACAGGACAGTTGGAAAATCTGGAAAATAATCAGACAATTGCTATAGAATGTGCTGAGAGTTGTCATGGATCTAAGTTAAGGTGGGCAAGTGCAGAAGAAGGGCATGCTTCTCATGGGAGATAATGCTCGAGCTGAGTCCTGAAAGCCAGAGCATCAGCTACAAGGATTCAAAATGGAGAGAATGTGTGAAACATCTGAGAGTTCTAAATATTTCCACACAGACAGAGCAGAAAGGGTAATCATTAGTGATGAGACTGTAGAGGAAAATATGAATATATTTGTAGTGTCACACCAAGGGAAAAAAAAGTGTGAAGATTCTGTCAGACTATATAGTTGACTATATAATTGCCTAGCTGATAGAATGTGTGAGATGCAGAAGTAAACAGAGTGAAATCATTTACATTAGGATGACTCCTAGTTTACTGATGTAGACTAGAGAGGAGATGCTGCATGCACAGACATAGGGAGCTGGAATGGAAGGAGACTTGAGGCAGGATAGAGAATAAATTCAGTTTGGGACACATTGCATTTGAACTGCCTGAGGGAAATATAAATGTAAAAGAGAGGTTTTCTCCTCTCTACCCTTACCTACAAGTGCCTCCTGCTAGAGTCCCTTCCTTGTGCCTTCTCACTCCTCAAATTCTAGTAGGTTAAGCTATAGTCAAAGTTTAACCCATTAGTCATAATAATCTTTGTCTACCGGAATTCAGTTGAAACATTTGCCTAAAAACTATTTAAATGACACTCATCCAGATGTATGAGTTTTGCCCTTTCAAAAAAGCTGCTCTTACCTTGTTGTATGGCCCTTGTATGAGATAGGATCAACATATTGGACAGCAAGTCTGTTGGCTACTTGTATTTCAATAAATAGCAACTAGAAATGAACAACTCATTGAGTGAGGTAAAAAACAAGTTGGAGGTTGATTTGAGGAAAGAATGCATGCTTTGGGGAAAGTATGCACTTATTACTGTAAATTGTTTAGCTCAGTCACAGTGAGTGACAGCTGAGATGTGATAGAATAGAGAAAGTGTTTTCCTAGTAAAGGGTGATGAGCTGTGTTGGGTCCTGTGTACATGGTATGCCATGGCCATATTATATCTTAATAGATGGAATCCTAAGGTGTGATCACTGCCATGGTATTGTACATTAGTGATTTATTTGCTTTTATCTGTATGTAAGGGAAGAGCACCTTCCTAGAGATTAATAGACATTGAAATGCATAGATACAAGGTTTGATTATTACTAAGATTCCCTTTTCCCCCTGCCTTACAACATAATGAAGCTTTAATCTAAATTAGGCTTTCAAAATTATACGTAACAAAAGAGGAAGACACATAAGCTATGCTGACATTCAGAATATATAGTAATTGCCCAGGAAGATGCACTATGCCTGTAGCTGATTAATCATAAGCTTTGAATATCATTTAGTTATTTTATATACATCACCCAAAAAAGTATCACTAATGTTTTAAATGATACTCATGTAGCAACTGTCATTGCCTAACAAATGAAACAGACAGATGTGAACAGTGATAACAAAGATGTATATCTTTGTTCTAAATCAAATAGCACCTTCTCAGAGACAATAGTTTAGCAAGAAAAAAGAAATGTGAATGAACAGATTTTTTACACATTTAACACAATGGGAAAAGAATTGTATGCATGTCTGATTTTTGTGATTTGACTCAAATTAAAATCACTATGGGGTCAGGAATTAAAAGGAGCCCAGTTCACAGTAGTATGGATTAGCAATTCTAAAATTGCTATCTGTGATTTTAGGATTGAGCATATGAGGGAGTAATTCTGAGAAAAATGAAAGCCACATGACTGCCAGTTGGAGAATGGAACTAGAAATGTAAAAAGAAAAAGACAAGAATAGCCTCTGTTATAATAAATTTAAATGGAAGTAATAGTATGAATGTATAGATTTTAATATATAAATAAAATTATAGCTATTGATTATATATCTAGATATATGCATGCCTATATTTTGTAGTTCTTTATATTAAAAGGGACTAAAAATAAAGATGCCTGTACAGCAATGAGCAAACCTAGTTCTCATACATTAGTTTCCCTTTTTTTGTAGTCAGTGTTTCTTAATTATAGTAAATTATACATAAAAATCTATCATCTTAGCCACTTTTGAGGGTACAGTTCAGTGATGTTACATACATTCACATTGTTGTACAGAACTTTTTCATTTTCCCATACTGAAACTTTTTACCTATAACACACTAATGCCCCGTTTCCCTATGCTACTCAGCCCCTAGCAACCATCATTCTACTTTTAGATGTTAGTTTCTGTATACTATACCCTACTAACAGAAGCGGGAGCTCCATAGAGAAATGAATGAGTCCACAACTACGGCAGAGGAATATAAGACCTGTCTGGAACATATCATTGTGATATAAAGAAAGGACACTTTAAATAAAATAATAGTAATAGAGCAAAAGGATACTGAAGACAGATTGAAGGGTCTCTCACTTGACAAATTTCAGACAATTTCATGAAAATGGATAATGGGACTAAAAGAATCTTCATGAAATAAAATAATAATCTATGATTCCATACTAATATATGTATGTAAACAAATATATACATATATGTATAGAGGTCCTCCATGAGGGTCCCACCCCTGCAGCAAACTTCTACCTGGACATCCAAGCATTTCTATACGCCCTCTGAAATATAAATGGAGGTTCCCAAACCTTAATTTTTGACTTCTATGTACCCTCAGGATCAACACCACATGGAAGCTGCCAGGGCTTGGTGCTTGCACCCTCTGAAACAATGGCCTGAGTTACACCTTGGCCCTTTTAGCCCTTGATTTAGTTCTCAGCTAGAATGTTATTGGTGTAAAGAAATAGTACTGACTTTCATATATTGATCCTGAAACGTTACTGATGTTACTAGGTCCCGGAGCCCTTTGGCAGCAGCATCTTTAGAGTTTTCTAGTTATAGAGTCATATAATCAGTAAAGAGAGATAGCTGGACTTTTAATCTTTTTATTTTTTTATTCAGATGCCTTTTATTTCTTTCTCTTGTCTGATTACTCCAACAAGGACTTCCAGTACTATGGTAAACAAGAGTGGTGGGAGTGAGCATCCTTGACATGTTTCAGTTCTCAAAGGAAATGGTTTCAGCTTTTGCCTGCTTAATATGATGTTGGCTGGATTTGACATAGATGGCTCTCATTATTTGGAGATATGTTCCTTCAATGATTAGTCTGTTGAGGGTTTATATTATGATGGGATATTATATTTTGTTGAAGTCTTTTTCTACAATTATTGATATAATCATACAGTTTTTGTATTCTAATATTTTATATGGTGAATTACATTTACTGATTTGCATATATGGAAACAACTTTGCATCCCACAAATTAGCCTACTTTATCATGGTGAATTAAGTTTTTGATGTGCTGTTGGGTTGAGTTTGCGACTATTTTGTTAAGAATTTTTTATGTCTATGTTCATCGGGGGTATTGACTTGTAGTTTTCTTTTTATGTTGTGTCTCTGTCAGATTTTAGTATCAGAATGATGCTGGTTTTCTAGAATGAGTTAAGGAAGAGCCCCTTCTCCTCAATTGTTTGGAATAGTTTCAGTAGAATTGGTACTATTCAGTAGAATAGTTCAGTAGAATTAGAATAGTTTCAATAGAATAATCATTGTATGTCTGGTAGAATTCAGTTGTGAATACATCTTCCGTCTGGTCCAGGGATTTTTTTTTTTTTTTTT